GGCCAGTGCCTTCAGCACCCTCGGATGGAGCTCATCCGGGCCTGCCGACTTAAAGGCATCCAGTTCTTCCAAATGACTCTGCACCATCTCAGGGTCTACGCGTGGAAGTCTGGCGCCTTGCTGCTGCCTCTCTACAACCCCAGTGAGAGACTTGTCATGCCCCTCGCTTAGGAACACTGAGGCAAAGAACTCATTGAGGAGTTCAGCCTTGTCCCCCCTGTCCGTCACCAATTGTTTCTGCCCATTTAGCAGGGGTCCTATTCCTCCCTGGGCCTTCCTTTTACTCCCAATATATCTAAAAAACAATTTCTTGTTTACAGTCTACAGAAGACTGAAAGAAAAATTCTGTTCTTGTAGATCAGTCTCAACTGTTGAAGCTATATGTTCAAGTTGCTGTATTTTACTGTATTTTACAACTTCTGTGTTGGAAATTAGGGTGTCACGCTGATTGACAGCATGGCTAATTAACTAAAACCAGGGGGTTACTAGAATTTCAAAAGCTCAGAGCCATTGACACTGGCAAAGTACTTTAACTCTAGGCAAATGGCTTTCAACCTTTTTTCATTTGCAGACACCTAAACAATTTCAAATGCAGGTATGGACGCCCCTTTGAATTTATAGTGGGTATTCGCATAATTTTGGTTGATCATAGTCATCTTTTGTGGGCCTGTTAGACATAGTCCACAGACCACAGGTTGAAAACCACTGCTCTAGCTTAATTTTGTATTTGTGCCTTTACATCCTTTTTTTTTTTTTTTTTTTTAATCAAATACTAAAGCTGAAATGAAATGATAAAACAGTTTTGTCATTTTTATCATAGCTTTAGAATCTGTGTTAACCGGCCTCCCTACTGTAGGAGATCTCAGACTTAAGATGCTTAAAAATTCTGTGTAACAACATTTATCAGCTGTTTGAGAAGGAAGCACAGCTGTCATTTATTTTCCAGTTTAGATACTTTGAGGATAGCTGTCAATCTTCCCTACATCACTGAGTGTTGAAGTTTGTTTTTTGATGAGAGGATAGGAAGATGAGCAAAAGCTTAGTCATTCTACTCCAGAAAAATAGATTTGACAAATTCTGTTAGACAGAAAACAAAAAACCTACTACCCACAGACCAACAAAAAGAGATTCCTACAACCATTGTTAAGGAACAGTGTTTCTTTAGCTGCTAAGAAAGACAAAGGGGCTAAGATCCTTACATGGATGCTGCCATTGAACTATGCTCAAAGGGTCAATCTCTCATCAGCTTCCAGCTGGTATGTCACACTGGTTTCCTTATCATTTAACTCTGACTGTAAGTGAGGATGGCAGATGAGGTTCTTTGGGTAAATGTGATATATTTTATTAGCCCAATTAAACAGCTGGAAAAACTGTTCTTTGCAAGCTTTTGGGCATAAACACCTTTCTTCAGGCATAGGGAGAGTGCCTCCTTCCTCATCTTTACTTTGCTGTACCTGATAGCAATGAGCTTAGAATAAAGGACCCAAATTTTCAATGCATGAAAAAATCAGAAAATAGGCAAAAAGGGACTGGAAGGCTGTCTTGTATACCAGAAAGAAAAACTATCTTATCTTTATTTATTTATTTACAGTTTGTGCACAATTTTTTTTTTTTTTAAGTGTCAGAAAACCCCCATCTTTCTCAGAGGTGGAAGCCTTTCTTTTCATGTGTGAAGTTTCCACTTTAAACTTGGGTGGTTCATTCACATTTTATTGAACTGTAATACGGCATCTTCCTTTCCTTCCCCCTTCTCACCACCAAGAATAAAAAGGAGGAGGGGAGATATAAAATGTTTCTGAAAATTACAGGAAATATCTGTTCCTTCAGCAATATTGCCAGGGAATTTCCAAGCGTGCTTAATGTTTATAGCCAAACTGCTCAGGCAGTCTGTAGTCATGAGTAGTTCCTATTCTAAAAGCACTTCATTTCCTTCCAGTAAAGTATGTTGAAATTACTAAGTGTGTGTGTCTGGTTTCTATTCTGGCCTTCAGCTGAGGGAATTCTGTCTAATGATAAAATGGGGGAGGGGGTACAGGGATTCAGTGGGGTTTTTTTTCTCTCTCTTTCTCTCCTTCCATCTTATTTTCTCCCCTTGGCTTCTGTGAACTCATAGTATATTCCTGGACATCCCTTTTAACATTCTCCCCATTTTACAGATGGGGAGAATGTTAATGATTTAGTTAGATTTTTGTGTGGGCTTTGAAAGCCATGAATGAAAGGTACTCTGTATGGGCAGAGTAGTGGCATTTCAGAATCATGGGGTGTTCATAGAAATGCTCCAGGAGTACTGGAATAGGGGACACCTTTTAAGTAGAGAGCTGCTCTAATTAAAGCACCTAGAGTGTCACGTGTATCAGCATCCCCATACTGAAAAATGATGGCTCGTCGAACAAGCTGTAGTTAAAGTGCCCCCACTGCCATTTTTCAGCACAGGGATGCTGATGCATGTGATGCTGGAGTCTGCTGGAGCACAATAATTACCATGTTCCAGCAAATTCGATTTTAATCAAGTCTGCTTCGATGTGCTGTAATTTACAGCATGTCGGAGCAGCCCTGATGCATGTGTATAAGGACCCGTGATGGTTATCTGAAGGGGATGAAACTGCCTAAAAGGAACTAAAGACCTAAGTACAATGTACCATAGCAAAAAGCAGCCTGGTAACAGTGCTGTAACTGTTAAAAGTCCTGTGACCTTCCTATAGGCAAAATCAGAACTGTTTTTAAGCAGTAGAACCAATTTTGTCCTAATAAGCCATTTCCATCCAAACATAACAAGGGACCAGACTGAACAAAGGTGACACAGATTGCTGATAGAAAGGAGAGGAAGCTTTGTTGGTTTGTAGGAAGGGCAGGGGAGAGGTTTGAAGGCTTAATTTTGCAGTCCTGTGAAGATGTGAGCTGACAGTGTTCTTAGTAGGCCTCCAAAGGGTGTAAATAGATGTAAGGTCTCCCTAGCAGAAGCCTTTTGTCTTGGCATCCTAGCGATGTAGGAGTCCATTTGAAGTACCTGTGAAGCGTGAGAGAAAATATGATAACTTTTTTTTTTCCCTGGGAAAATGCTGTATAGTTCTGCAAGTTGATTTGAAGCTCCATTCAAGTTGTCAGTCATTCCAGGGACAAGCCTGGCAGGCTGTGCGCTCTACCTGGGCACTTAATGGCAGAGGAGATCAATGCAGCTTGGAAAGGTGTGTGTAAAGGGCTGTGTTGCTCCTCTTCTGTCCCAGGGCCTGCCTCAAACGAAGCATCTGTTTACAGCCTAAATCAGTCATTCTCAACCATGGTGCCAGGGCAGCCTTGGGTGCTACCAGATCCTTAAAATGGTACTGTGATGTATGAAGTAAAAAACAAGTGCAGGCTCAGGCTCGTACCTGCCTGGGCCATTCTCTGCTCC